CTGAGCTTGCCGTTATCCTCATCTCCCTGCCCACCCCTCCTGTCTCCTAATGTCCGCTTTCATCATTTGGCACATATATGTCTGTCTTTTGTCTGCTAGTAAGAGTTTCTGAAACCTCGGTCCACCGCTTTATTTTCCTCTTGACTTAGGGTCAGAGCAGCCAGCCAGCTTTACAAAATCATTTTAGCATAGTGATTCCCCACCAGGGACAGTTCTGCCCTCTCGGAAAATTCGGCTTCCTTGTATGGAGACATTTTGGGAGGGGCTGTTAATTACAGCCTCAGAAATCCTGCCAAACATCCTTCAGTGTGCAGGACGGGACCCACGGCAAAGAATTACCCATTCCAAAATGTCAGTGGTGTCAAAGTTGAGGAGACCTGGACTCACCTCTTCTCTACTGAGAGGCTCATAAAGTAGAAGCCTTTCTGCACCTCACTGGTTCATTTTATGGTCTGTAACAAGTATCCTAAGATTGCCTTTTTGACAGCAGAGTTACACTCCAGGATTGGAGCCCCACACTCCCAGATGCTAAATAAAGTCCTCACTCATGGGTCAACAGAGAATTTATGTCACTTAAGTCAGTGACTTCTAAGTAAACGCCAGCGATGACTTAGTCCATCTCTGGAGAGTGCAGAGAAAGAGCTGCCCTGCAGGACAGTGCCGTTACCCCTGGAAGAAGCCGCCATACCCCCTTGGCTTTGGTCTAAGTCTGGAGCTCTGTCTCCTTTGAAGCAAATGCCATATGTGCTTTCTATCCAGCTGACAGACATTTGTAGTATTAGAAAAAATAAACTTGATCTATTGAGCACTAAAAAGTGCCTGCCCCAGTGGAAAACCCTCACACGTTGTTATCTTAGTTAAGCCTCAAATAGCTCTTTGAGGAAGGCATTACAAATAAGAAAAATGACAGGGTAGTGATGCTACGCGCCTTTAATCCTAGCACTAGGGAGGCAGAGGCAGGTGGATATGTGTGTGTTCAAGGCCAGCCTGGTCTACAAAGTGAGTTCTAGGACAGCCAGGGCACAAAGAAACCCTGTCTCAAAAAACCAAGAAAAGAAAAGAAAAATGAGGCCAAGAGGCTAAGAGACATGTCCAGACTGTACAGTTAGGATTATGTCAAATCTTCCTGGACTAGTTACGTCCCACTGGCCCTGACTGCTTTCAGGGCACTGGGCATAAAACCTGGACAGAACACAGCCCTTTGTCTTTAGAGGGCGTCCAGTTGGTGGCTAAGGTGGTTTGTTGTTTTCAGCCCCAGGTAAACAATACTGTCACCCTCAGTGTGGTTGTCCACTCCTAAAGAAGGGGAAGACAGTTTATCATAGGGCAGGGGAAGGCACTTGTCTGCTCCATGCTAAAGATGGAGAACTGGAACACAGACTAGATCCTGATAAAGGAATCAAAGAACAAGGGTTAAGAGCTTTGGGTAAAAGGAAATGAGGACAGAAGATCAGCACTTTGGGATGTTATAAATATTACATCGGTGGGGAGTCTTAAAGGTATAAAATTTTGTAGTAAATGACAATTGTATTAAAAAGTAAATGAAAACACATACCATTTGATTTCTCACTTGTAGACATACTAGAGTATGTATGCATGGTCTTTGTTTCTGAAGTTTCAATTGCCTGTGGTTAACTATCTCAAAGTATTAAATAGAAAAATCCAAAAAGAAAGAATTCATATATTTTAAGTTTTTACAATATGTTCTTACAATAATTGTTATTAACCCCTCAGTGTGTCTAGCTTATAGATGAAACTTTACACCCAAGATAAAGGTATGGGTAAAAACCCAGTATTCTATAGGGTTTGCTACCTTCTGGCTTTAGGCATCTGTAGAACATCTGGGAACTTATTTCCCAATCCCAGAGTTATAGGCTTTTGAAAGAATTAAATTTGGTAATGTATATAAAATATTGTTAGCTTGATTCCCAGAATATACCAAGAAATTACTAAACTCAACTTGCTATTGTTGATGGCCTGATTTGATCTCTTGGAAAAGTGTAGAAGAACGAAATGTGCTTTATCTACTTAATTCAAAGCCTAGTTCTTGAACAATCATGTTCAACTTAATTTGTATTAGGCTTCCTCTCTCATATACATATTTTCATAGAACAGTCATTGATACAGTCTGTGTCAGAAGGTATGTGTATCCACCACAGGAAAGCATGATCATCCCAACACCAGCTGCGCTGCCTTGTCTGTCCCCCCCAGTATTGGAGTAGCTTGGACACCCTGCATGAATTAACTCCATCAATGTTGTCTGCTCCCATTATAGCTAATGGCACTGACTCAGCCTTCCATGTGCTTGCTGCTAAGCCAGCCAATACTGCTCTAGCACCCGTAGCAATGCCTGTGCGTGAAACGAACCCTTGGGCCCATGCCCCTGATGCTGCTAACAAGGAAATTGCAGCCATACATCCGGGTAAGGTGGCCACAGATATTGAAGTGGATTCTGGGAGCAGGTTCTAAAATCAGCCAGTTACCTGAGTGAGGACTAAAAAAATTATATTCCCTCCCAGACAGAAGTGGCTGTGAGAACAGGCTCTAAAGCTGGGGCAAGAGGATAAGCTGGGAGGCTCTCAGGACTGTAGAACCCGGCTACTACAGAGCGTTAGTGAGCCACCGTTCCCTGCAGCACACACAGCTTTCTATAGTTAAAGGTCGCTACCAAAAGTGCCATGAAGAACACTTTTTTTACACTAACTTTTCTGCAGTGTTTTGAGGCAGGATCTCACTATATAACTCTGGCTGGAACTCACTCTGTAGACCAGACTGGCCTCCAACTCAAGACCTACCTGCCTCTCCCTCCTGAGTGCAGGGATTAAAGGTGTACACTACCAGTCCTGACTTTCAGTGTTTTTTCTTTTTAATTATCCATGTTTTGGGGGTTTTGAGACAGTTGTTATGCAGCCCTAACCTCTTGTTCTGGGAATGCAGGTGTGCACCATGGGTCCAGCTCTTTGACACACACGCCCTCCTCCCCCAGAGAATAAGCCAGTTTCTCTACTGTGGCTGCACCATGGCAACTTGATAGACTTTTCACACCTGTCAGCTGCCTTGGGTCAGGGGTTTGAGCCATAGCTGAAGAGCCTCATAAGATAAGCACGTACTCAGGTTCTGCTTGTCCTCCTTGGCTGGTGACACTTCAGTTCCTCTACCAGAACCACAAGTGTCCCATCATGGGGGCATGGTCCACGCTTTAGGATCATTTTACATAACCGAGGTTATCAGGAATGGCCTCTAATTCTTCCTCCCTGTCTTGTTGGTTCTAGGGACTGAGTGGGGTCAGTCTTCTGGTGCTGCCTCTCCAGGTCTCTTCCAGGCTGGTCATAGACGTACTCCCTCTGAGGCTGACCGTTGGTTAGAAGAAGTATCAAAGAGCGTCCGGGTCCAGCAGCCACAGGCCCCAACTGCCCCTCTGCAGCCAGTTCTTCAGCCTCCTCCACCTACTGCCATTGCCCCGCCAGCACCACCTTTCCAAGGAAATACATTCCTCAGTTCTCAGCCTGTCCCAGTGGGTGTGGTCCCACCCCTGCAGCCAGCCTTTGTCCCTGCCCAGTCCTACCCTGTGGCCAATGGGATGCCCTATGCAGCCTCTAATGTGCCTGTAGTGGGCATCACCCCTTCCCAGATGGTAGCCAATGTGTTTGGCACTGCAGGTCATCCTCAGGCCAGTCATCCCCATCAGTCACCAAGCCTGGCCAGACAGCAGACATTCCCTCAGTATGAGACAAGTAGTGTTACCGCCAGTCCCTTCTTTAAGCCTTCTGCTCAGCACCTCAATGGTTCTGCAGCTTTCAATGGTGTAGACGATGGCAGGCTGGCCTCAGGAAGCAGGCATGCAGAAGTCCCTGCAGGCACCTGCCCAGTGGATCCTTTTGAAGCCCAGTGGGCTGCATTAGAAAGCAAGTCCAAACAACGCACTAATCCATCCCCTACCAACCCTTTCTCCAGCGACTTACAGAAGACATTTGAAATCGAACTTTAGACAGTTTCTGCGACGTGTCTTTTTCTGTACTTAGAGGAGCAAAGAGGACTTTGCTTTCCTGATCAGTACACTTTTTACTAATCCCAAAGGTCCTAAGGAGCGAGTCCAAGCTCAGTACAGTGAGGGGTGGTGTCCAGAGAGGAAAGCACTCCTAGAGAGGACCGCTCTGCAGCTAGGCTAGAGAAGTCAAGGAGACGTTGCCTTTTGACCGCTCTCAAACCCTTACAAATCTCTGGCAACAGAGAGGCAGAAGTATCTGAAGAGGAGGAATCTGTATTCAAAGCACACTTACTGGCATATAAAACATAACAGTGAGCAAAACAATCTCCCTTTATTTTTCAGGCCAGTCGCCCATTCCTCCCAGTACTGGCCTGACTTAGAGAGCTTGATGGAGAACAGTGTGGCTTGTACAAGCTGGGAAGTGAGGCAGCTCATGCTGCCCTGTTCACAGGAGGGCCCAGCGGCAGCTGTGTCCTGGGGATAAAGCTGAGCTTCCATTTTGAATAACAGAATATAAATATAAATATATATATATCAAAAAAGCCAAAATCTTTATTTTTATGCACCTAGAATATTTTAAATAGTTCTCAATATTAAAAAGTTGTATGAGTTGTAAGTAATCTTGCCAAAAGTGAGCAGGTTAGTTGTAAGAAATTGTACATAAGATTGATTTATCATTGATGCCTATTGAAGTAAAGAGGGAGGGTCGGGAACTGTGGGCAGGAGCCCTGGCTTGTCTGTGATCACTCATTGTAACTAGCACATGCAACAACAATCATACTGATGACCAGTACAGCCACTAGGTTGTAGTTTTAAATAAAACGAAAGCAGTGTTGTTCTTGTTTTAAACCTATGGTGAAACTCTGTCATTATTTTAATGGAATCAATCTACACTCTAGAGAATGTGTATTATCTTTTATGTATTATTGCAGTTTCCTTATGTTAATCCTTTATCATTAAGGTGACAGTGACATAATCATATCCAGAAAGGGAATGTAGGCTGTTGTGTTGGTTTGTAGTATGGGTCTTAATGGGTTTTGTACTTAGAGTTTTGTTCCCATAAGTTTTATAGGGATGAGGATTCTGGATTTATCTGCTCTGTGTGTCTGTTTCCCCGTCCTCCCCGCCATGAACAGAACATCCCATGCCAGTTGCAGCTACTTGACCTCGGGTAACAACGTGAGACCCCATCTCATTTTTACTTTTGAACGTTGGCCTTACAATCAAATGTAAGTTATATATACATATATATATTTGTACTGATGAGAATTTATAATCTGCTTTAACAAAATAAATGTTCGTGGTAGAAGCTTTTGCCCATGAAGGGCTATTCTTATTTGCAAGTGAACCTCTAGTTGTTTTTTATTCCTCTCTACTGCCAATTTCTAGTTTGGGACTAGTATAGTCCTTAGCTGTCGTGGGCGCATCAGCGGCTGTGATGCTCAGAGTAGGTCTGCAACAGAAACTGGGACTTTTAGTCACAGGGGTGCAGGGGTGCCGTATGGATAGACAGGGTCTCACTACGTAGTCCTGGCTGGCTTCGAACTCACAGATCCACCTACCTCTGCCTCTCAGTGCGCCACCACTGCCTGACAGTACTGCTTCTCAGCTTTGGCTGTACATTGGAATTCCCTGAGGTGCAGCTTAGTGGAATGTGAACTCAGCATGCCTGAGATTTCCCACCGTGCATGCGCATGCACACAAATACCTATACCACCAGACTACTCACCAGCCCAATTAAATCAAAATTTCAGTGGGAGGGACCAAGCTGTGCTTCAAATCTTGAGGAGTTTCTGGCGGTTTGTCATACTCTGGTTAGCAGGGTAAGCACCCTGGTCTAGAGCACTTACTGTTGCCGCTCAGGCTTCCTGCTTGTACCTGCAGACAGCTCTCTCCTTTCTGAGCAAGATGACCTGAGATACCGCTTCTGCATGCAGCCTTGTTTTCCAGCCGATGTCAGAGCTTTGATACTAAATAGTCTTCTAGGAGAGTCTAGGAGTTAAAGTGGGAAAGCCTTGGAAGCTCACTAAGTGCAGACCTCTTCCTTGAGTGTTAAGAAATCAGAGGTTCTAAAAGATGAAGGATCCCTTCCTGCATCCCAGATAAAAACCACTTCCCCGGTCGTGACATTGCACCCTCGATCCTGTTAATGCTGGGTTTTGTGGGTTTGGGGTTGTTTAGAGACAGGGTTTCACTCTGTGGCCCAGGCTGGCTCACACTGGGGCATTCCTGCTTCAGCCTCCCAGGCATTGGGATTATAGGTATGCACCACCATTCCCAGTGTGGGTTCTAGGTCATACTCAGGTCATCAGGCCTGGCAGTGAATGTTTTAATACTGAGCCATCTCACCAGCCCCCTCACTGGTCTAGCAACACTCTGCTCCACAGGTTCCCACTGAAGGAAGTATGGCTGCTCTTTGCTGCCCAGAGCAGGCCAGTGAACTGTGTGTCCCCTCAGGGCACGTCTCTGCAGCCTAGTTCTTTCCCAGCATCTTCACACTCAGATTACAATCTATCTGGCTTTTTCACCCCACGTCCCTAAAGTGAGGCCGGATGATTGTATTCCACCTTGCTGAGAGCTTTCCCAAACATCACTATGAACTCCATACAGTGATAGTATTGAAGACAGCTCACCATCTGACCCAGTGGCTTTGGGTTCTAGCGTAGAATACTGAGCAGTTGCCACTACTGCTACTGTCACATGCCTCCTACCTAGCTTGTTCTGTAGTGTGGTGAGTGGATCCTCTGTACAAATTGAGCATCCCTCACTCAAAATCAAACATACTTCTAGACGTTTCCGCAGGCTGACATGGCATTTGGGTGTTTCCGACTTCCGAGCATTTCAGATTTTAGATTAGGGATGCTCAACTAGTAAAGTCTGCAAATATTTAAAAGTTTACAACACTTTGGTCCCAAGCATTTCCGATAAAGGATCCTCACCGCAGCAGGAACTCTAAAGAGAAGGTGTAAAGGAGTTCTGTACAGGTGGAGTCCTCTTCTCAGCAGCCTGACGTCATACACAGACTCTGCTGAGCACTACAGGGGGAGGCCGCCACTGGCAGCGGCTGGGGCATAACCCTGGCTTCCTGAGAGGGCCAGTATCTGAGGGGTGACTCCTTTGCAAGCCATGTCTTACCATCCCTTCTCCCCAGCAAACTAGCCGGAACTGGTGCCACAGCTAGCCTTCATCCCTGCTGCCAGTCAGGCTGAGCATTTGGCTGGAAGCGAGAACAGCTGGCACAGCAGAAGCTGGAGTAATATTCATTGCCACAGAGCTGGGCCTGCAGGATCAAGGCACAGTTGGCCAGCTCCGGCTGGTCGATGCACTCCCTGCCCAGGTCCCTGGACTGAGCGACTGGTGCTGTGGAACAAGAGAGAAAGGGCTGAGGCAGCTCCCCTGCCACAGCTTCTCACCTGCTCCACACATACTTGATCAGCAAGAAGGGATTATGGCTTCGGCTCCTTGCTGGCCTCACTAGAGGTCCTCCTGTGTTGCCTGTCTGCGGTCTCAGCCCAGTGCACAGCCTTTCCCAGACTCCCCCTTACTGCCTGGATCATCAGACGGATCTGCCCTCACTGTCCAGAGCCAAAGAGCCACGTGACAGCTCTGTTGGCCCGGATTGGAAGGAAGGATAGATAGGGCCAGACCTAGGAAAGCTGGAAGTCAGCAAGAGCTTTCGTTGTCCCTGGTGCTGCTGAGTCCTCCAGCCTCCCCAGCTCACCCATCTCCTAGCTCCATCTTTCCTGCTTTCCGCCAGAGAACGCAATGACTCTTCAAAGCCCTGCTAGCCGTGGCCGATAGCATAGCCTGTGTGCTACCTCACCCTTCCTAGGAGTTTGTCACTCAGATCTATTCTACTGCTGCGTCCTAGTTACCCTCTCCGCAGGATCTGTGCTGCGCTGTCCCCACTGTCCCCACAGCCAGCCATACAGGGCTGAGTACCTTCATTTCCCTGCTCCTTCAGAAGACCCCATGAAAAACCAGACAAGCTGAGTGGCCTTAGAAAGGTTTGGCCTTCTTACCAACATAACCAGAGCATGGTAGCAAACCCGTGTGTGCACACTTATTTTTCAAAATCTGGAACTTTGATTCCAACTCCCAGCCATTGCAGCTCTGACCTATCACAGCAGACTGTCCCTTCCCTACCGAGTTCCCTTGGACACATTTCTTGAGCTCTTGGGGCCTCTGCTTCCTTTTCTGTGAAGTGGAGAGGAAATAGTGTCTGCCTCAGAGGGGTGTTCTAAGGACTTAAAACAGCTGGGCCTGGTGGCACAGGCCTGCAGTCTCTACTTGGGAGGTTGAGGCAGACCACGGCTTCAAGGCCAGCCGAGGCAACTCAGGGAGACCCTATCTCAAACTAAAAATACCAAAAAGAGGCCTAGCAGTATAGTTTGGTAGTAGAGTGTAAAGTGCTTGTCTATAACATACAGAAGCCACCCAGGACATGCGCTAACCATGGCAGAAATTTGAGTGCTTACTGCTGTCCTGACCCCACAGCAGAGCCTTCCTCAAAAAATGAGGCAGGGATAGAACGGGTGCCAGACTACCTTCCAATTCCACAGTATTTCCTGCTCTTCATTCAGCCCTCATAGGCAAAACAATTCGGATTTTACTCTAATGTGCTAGAAGCCTAAGCCCACCCCATGCTAACACTAACTCCAGTGCCGCCAAGCCGTGACTTGGGCAGCATGAGATAGTCACTGTGTGACTGTCAGAAAACCAGCTAACAAGAGCCTCTATCTGCAGGCTGGTCAATGGAAGGCATCCAGACAGGTAGGAATTCTGGAGAGACGCTTCTAAAATAAGTAAAGGCTGCAATATCCAGCAGAAGACGAGAGAAAGGAGGCCTCGCTGTAGATGTGAGTGGGGTCAGGAAGTTCAGCGTAGTGGCTTCACGTCACCAAAAACCCACTAGCCTCCATCGTCAAACTTCCATTATCATCTGGCCTCCCTCACAGTAGACACATCTACAGCTGGTCACAAATGTGAATGTCCAGATCCCCTTGGGTTGTTTTTGAGGTGGGTTTTGTTGGCCTTTGTTTTAACACAGGGATGTTGCTCACACCGCACTCAAACTGGTAATCCTGCTATGTAAGCCGCGTGCTAGGATTCCTCGGACCTCAGAATGATCGCCTGCCCCGCCATAGGAGTCTACAATCTCGGTCTGGCTCGTTTGGCTAGTGTATAGATGGGGTGGAATATGATGTTCTCACCACGGTGCTGTTGTTCACATAGGCACACCAGCTATCTGAGTTCCCCAGGCTGCAGAGAACTGGGCTGGGCCCTGGGGTCCCAGAGTGAGAGTCAGTCTCACAAGCAACATTTCCACACACACCTTCAAGCTCTGGCCAGTTCCCATGCTCAGCCTCACAGCCAGAATGACAGCCGCACTGACCCCAGCCCTCCCATGGTGGCACTGGAACTCTGCTTGTCGTGAGTGTTCATGCAGACCAGGCAAGTCAGTGCCCCGTTACGTGCCAGGCACCATTCTCCGGGATCTGCCTCAGGTCTGTGAGAGTTGGCTGCTGGATGAGAGGTTCTGACCTGCTGCTCTGACCCTCCCTGACACACAAAGACCTACATAGAGCAGAGTGAGTGGCCCCTTCCCGCTCCAGCCCTGTCATTTCAACACAGAGCTCCTGTGAGTGGGAGCTTTAGACAGTTTTAAGATGCGAGTTCTAAGATGCACCTGGGAGAGTAAAGTAGTCTTGGCTACCTAGCAAATTCAAGGCCAGCCTGGACTACAAAAGGAAAGAAATAAATAAAACCAGGAGTCAAAAAAACAAACAAAAAAAAAAAAAAAAAAAAAAAAAAAAAAAACAAAAAAAAAAAAAAAAAAAAAAAAAAAAAAAAAAAAAAAAAAAACCCTGGGTTTGGTTCCCAGCTGTCCACACATCTGCTGTGTGGATGGTGGGAACATCCCTGAAACTCACTGGGTACCTGTCTCATGGATAAAGGATGAGGGTGACCCTGCCCTCTTGTTACATGCCTAGATGATCAAAGGCACTCTTCCATCCTAGAGCCATTTTTTATATAAAAAAAAATTGACTATATGTGATTTGGAAAGGAGACTATACCAAACATTGGTCAAAGAATCATCTGTGCCTTTTAAGAATAAGGCCTTTTATTTACGTGTGTATTTACTGCTAGGGATGGAGCCGAAGGCCTTGCATGTTAGGCAAGAACTGCACTGAGCCCCGGTCCCACAGTACCGTCTGCCACCCTGATTAGAATGGACAGATTTTAGGGGTCCATCCGTCTTAAAGCATTAGACTGGCAAGTCTGAATGGCAGGGTTCTGAGGCATTTGCAGTGCCGTCCTGAACCCTTCCCCACATCTGCACCTCAGCCTTAGGTAGTGAAGTAGCCCCAGCAAAGTGGGACTCTGGGGTGACACCGAATACCTGCCCCCAGTTACAATACCAGAAGCTAGAAAGTGAGCGCAGGTGAGAACGAGATCGCTAAGTCTGTGACCCGCAGTGCTCAGCTGGCCTTCAGGACAGCAAAACCCAGGGACAAGCCTCTCTTACCTGGCAGGGCCACCTTCACCTCAGTGCTGCGGCTCACAGCCTGGCTCCCACGGTAGGCACTGCATGTGTACGAGCCCTCGTCCCTGGGCCGCAGGTTGTGGATCAACAGTGTGCCATCTGGAGACTGGTGCACACGGTGGCCATCTGCCTGCACTGGGATTCCATTCCTGGAGGGAAGAGGACACTGGGAGAGCCGTCCAGGGCTTCCAGAGACAGGCCCTGGGAGGCCTGGGAGATAGTAGCCAAGGCTATTCCAGAGCGAGCCTTCTCTCCCCTCAGGGAAGTGAGGACAGGCACACTAAATTAGTAGGAGGACATTACCAAAGCCAAGTGACACCGCTGAGCACTGAGTTACCAGATTGCCTTGGATCCACAAAGGAATCCACTCCAGCTTGTCACTGACAAATGCCAGGCCCTGTGTCAGGAGGTACATGTACCTTCAGGGAGCCTTCCACAAGAAAGGGGCCAGCTGAGCCGGCCAACAGAAGGGGAAACTAGGGATTTGGGACCTTGAAGACAAGCAACAGCCAGATTAAGAGGAGGCAGGGGGAGCCAGGCAGAACCCATGGTGGCTCCTAGCAAGGGTTTAAGCAGGCTCTGGGAGTGGCTAGAAGGCCTCAAGAGGAGCAGGGACGGTCTTGGGGGGGCCTGGAAGAGAAAGCAGGGGTAGTTCGTGCTTTGTGCACGTGGAGAAGATAACAGAGCACCGAAGTAGACGCAGGTGAGGGCAGATGTGGGAGACGGAGACGGTGGCTCTAGAGCCAGCCTTCTCTAGCTCACTGGTGCCTTCCCAGGTGGAAAGAATGAACCAGTGAGACGATTTGGATCTGGGGTGCCTGTGAGACCTGAAGCCAGAAAGTCCAGACCCAGAGTGTATCAGCACAGAATGGCCTCTCTTCTGGAAGAGTATCTCTAAAGGCGTCCCAGGTAAGAGCTCTGAGGACAGTAGGGAAGCCATGGGAAGGGAGTGTTTTGAGAAGATCATGTGGCCAGTAGGGGTGGGAGGTGATTGGGTGGCCTCTCTGGAGCAGTTATCAGGACAGACAGCAAGATGTACAACCATGCTATGGAGGAGGACACTGAACACTGAAGCCCCTGGCATCAGAGCCACCTAAGTGGCAGCTGGACTCCATCGTCACCATCCCTCGCCAGCAGGGTGCCCCCTCAGGAAATATTTGCCTTTGACCTCTTGTTGCTTCTCCCAAGAGCATCCTTCACTCTCCTTACCCTCCCTGGCCTTGTCCTTGACTCTCCCAGATCCAAAGCCTCACTTTCTTCTGCAGTACAACCAGCACTTGGGGGAAAACCTGGCCAAGGCCACCTCTCAGCTCATAGTGCCCTGAGGCCCCCAAATCTCCACTGGACACTAACATAGGTTCTGACATGTTCTAAAGAAGTAGAGACAAAAGATAGTTGCTGGACTTAAATACACTAGCTGATCTGGAATTGGGCTCTGAAGTTGCAGCTGGAGAGATGGCTCAGCAGCTAAGAACGTGCTCTTGCAGAGGACCACGGTTCGGTTTCCAGCAGCCACGTGGTGACTCACTCACAGCTATCCATCTTTCTGACCTCCACAGCACCAGGAACGCATGTTTTATACAAACATACATGAAAGCAAAACACTCATAAGTAAACTTGGAAAAAAATAAAGACACCAAAAGTCTCCAAAGCTGCATTCATCCCTGTGGTTCTCAACATGGAGGAGACAGACCCATGTCTAGAAATACTGTTCACTTTCTAACCTGGGCAGGGAGGATCCGACTGGCCCTAGCAGGTGGATGCTCTCGATGCTGCTAAGTATCTACCATGAACAGGTCTAAAACAGCAAGCTTGACTGGCCCAATATTTCAGTGATGCTAAAATTAAGAAACTATAGTTGCTGGGTATGGTGGCATATACCCTTAATCCCAGCCCTCTGGGGGCAGAGGCAGGTGGATCTCTGAGTTTGAAGCCAGCCTGGTCCACAAAGTGAGTTCCAGGCCAGTCAGAGCTACATAGCGAGACCCGTCTTGAAAATACCAAAAGAAAATTAGAAATTAAGTCAGGCAGTGGTGGTGCACCCTTTTAATCCCAGCACGCAAGAGGCAGAAGCAGGCGATCTCTGTGAGTTGAAGGCCAGCCTGGTCTACAGAGCAAGTTCCAGGACAGCCAAGGCTACCCCTACCCCCAAAAAATGAAATTGTGTCACCCAGCTGGTAGAAACTGCCCTCTAGGGCTCTGTGATGTGGGATGAGGGTGCTTCAGCCTCAGAGGACGATGGTATAGTAGTGACGGTGACATTTCTGACAGAACGAGACAGTGGGAACATGTATGGCTAAAATAGCACTTTACCTGGACCACCTGATGTTCACACTCTCTCCAGCCACCACACACAGAAGCCTGGCTGTGTCACCCTCTGGCACGGTCACCGAAGGAGGCAGGCCTGTGATGGTCAGCTCCCCTACACACAAGAAGACATTGTCAGTGGCTAACACAGACCCCTCCCCCACTCCACTGGACCACCCATTGCCCTCCCCACCCCTCCCACCCCCCAACCCCACCCCTGCTCAGCACTATTTTTTTACCCAGAACTCGAAGCTGAACCCAGCGCTGGTCACGGTCCTGCCCATTAAAGGCAACACAAGTGTAGAAGCCACCATCGTCCACAGTCACCCGGCTGATGACAAGAGAGCCATCAGGCTGCAGCTGGTGCCTGGGGACCAAACAGAGCCAGTTGGCTTTGACCCACGGAGGGGCTGAGCAGGGCCCCTGCTGTTCAAAAATGTCGGCCAAAGAGCAGCTGGCCTCAGCCCCTCACACAGCCCCGCTGCCAACACTCTCTCTTGGCTTTTAAACTCAATCTAACAAGCCTCTCACGTTTTCTGATTTAAAAAGTATTTGAGGCCAGGTGTGGTGGCTCGTGCCTGTAATCCCAGCACTCAGGAACCGGAAGCAGAAGGATTGCCGTGAGTTTGATGCCAACCTTGTATACATAGAGACTATCCAGCTGTCTGAGCTACTGTGTGATGCCGATGTTAAAAACAAGAAGGGGGCTAGGGAGGTCGCAGTTTGTAAAGTGCCTGCCTTGCAGGCGTGAGGACTGAATTCAACCCCCAGAATCCACATCTAGGGGGTGGGAGGCAGGCAGGCATGGTGGGGCATGCTTGTAATCCCAGCACTGGAGAAACAGAGAGGACTCTTGGGCTTGCTGGCCAACCAGCCTAGTCTGCTTGTAGAGCTCCAAACCAATGAGAGACCCTGTCTCAAATAAACAAGGTGGACGGTTCCTAAGAATGGTATCTAATGCCGGCTCCTGGCCTATATACAGAAGCACACATGGACGTGTAACATAATTTCAGATTAGATTTCTAGTTTGTACTTTGAGACAGAGTCTCACTATGTGGCCCTGGCTGTCCTAGAATTCTGTAGACCAGACCCCCCTTAACTCATAGAAGTCCATCTACCTCCCCCTCCAGGGTGCTGGAGTTAAAGGCTTAGATTTCTAGTTTTTGCCATACACAAAGTGGACTCGAACCCTGACCCTACGGTGAGCTGCGTGGCATTGAGCTCACATATGTGAACTGCTAACAAGAAGCACACGCTTCAGTGTGGCCCCTGCAGCTTACACAGCAGTGAACGGGCCTCAGTACAAAGTCAGTAAATGCCAGCAATGGGAACCATCTGGGGCGTTCAGAATCCATCTCCCCCCTTGGCTGGCCTCTCATTTCCGTCAGCCATACTTTGGAAATGCCTAGAGGCCTTGTGCTCCAAACCCCCTTTCTCCAGAGCCTGGAGTCCTGCTCTGGCCCCCATAGGATGTGTTGCCAGAGACAGGACAGTGGGGGCAGGGGAGGGGCTGAATGAACCTGGGAGAAGAGACCAACTGCCCATCTCTTTGCCACTCGATGGTGGGGGCTGGGAAGCCTTCAGCACGGCAGGTCAGCCGGATCCGCTGGCCAGGACTGGCATCCACCACCCCAGGCTGAGTCCGATCCAGACGCAGCCTAGAAAATAAATTGTACTCAGCTTAAGGGGCCCTGGCTGCTACTTCTCCCCATAAGAGTCCTCTGCATGAGCCCCTTTCTCCCTTTCTAGTCAGGGTTGGATCCCTAAAATTATCCCTTAGTCCTGTTTAGGACACCAACTCTGTTATTAAGGACTCAGCTGGCAGCTACCGTGGCTGACTAAACGCACCCAATGTCCCTCTGCCTACCTTCTGCCCTGCATATCTTCCAGAGATGCTCCCTCTGCCCCCAGATCCCCAGAGATGGAGCCACCCCTCCAGGCCAGCTCAAGGCACCAGGCTTTTCCAATTGTCACCTCTCCGAGCCCCGGGCACTGGCTGGTGAAAACCCAACCCCAGCAGACACTTTCCCTTATCGCCTATAGAGACCATGGACCCTGAAGGCTCTGAACGTGTTGTGACCTATTCAGAGAGCATTAGGTCATGCTGTGCTGTTACCTGCTGGCAGGCCTGAGGTGTGGGGAAGAGATAACCCCTGGGCCTCCAGCTTCTGCTCCAGAGTCCCGAGGACCATGGCCAGGGTCTGGGTGCCTGGTCTGAGGGAACTGCCTTGGCTGGGCCTCGGACAACACTGGCATGTCGCCCCCTGTCATGCGTGAGGCCAAAAGAAGCAAGTATGAGCTTTGGGGAGGTGGGAATGAAAGAGGGCCCTGAGACCAGCAAAGCCCAGTGGAGAAAAGAGGGGGTGTTGTCCCTGCCCCAGGAGGATGTGACCAAGGAAGAACCCGGTCCTTTCTCAGGTGGGTCAGGCCTCCCTCCCTCAGCCCCACTCTGACTTGTGAGACCCTGGGAGGTGGAGCGGGGGGGAGGGGGAGGACAGAGACCTGTTACTCGAAGCTGAATTTTCTGGGGGTCGTGGCCTGGTCTGTGGCTGCCACAGCTATAGGCACCAGCATCCTCTGGCCTCAAGGGGCTGATGATGAGGGAGCCATCTGGCTGTAACTGGTACCTGATGGAGGGAGAAGAGACATCTCTGGGCTCCTGAGGGCTCTGTGTCCTCTGCCACCCACGTTACCAAAGAAGACCAAACAGCCCCACAGCCCTTGGAGCCCCGAGCCTCCCAGGGAATGCCAGAGGGGTCTCCCCAAGAGAGGACACTGCATACACAGGAGATGGAAGGTAGCTGCTGCTCCCCGCCTTCTCCCACAGAGAGTAGACCGCGGTGTTACACCCACCTATCAGAGAAGAGGGTCTGGCCATCTTTCTGCCACCCTGTCTGGAACTCTAGGGAGGTGTGGCCAGGGCAAAAGAGCTGTACCGCCTGCCCGACAGATGCCTGGACCAGGGAGGGCTCCGAGCCTGCCAAGCTGATCCTGGAGAGGTGAGAGGTATGGATCTGCCTCCTGGGAGCAGGTCACCAGGGAGCTGTCTTCTGTAGGTATTTGCAGGGCTAGAGTCCCATGGGCAACTCTGTCTTCCCAACCCTGCCACACCCCCAGGTCCTGCCCTTCAGGCAGCTGTGCAGCAGAACAAGGCAGGCAGCCCAAGGGGGTAGGGGGAGGCTGAGGAGGGTCACACATGTCAGCCCAACCAAGAGACTTGGGCCTGGCAGCACGTGCTTTGGTCTCTTAAGTCTTTATTTCCCCAAACCCTGTGTTAATATGATGGAACAAGAGTGATAAATACCAAAGCCCATATCAAAAGTTATGATATATTGCAGGAATGAAATATTACCGCCATTTCACAGGTCAAGAAATTGAGGCTCTAGCCAGCTTTTCTACCTAGACAGAGACCTCAGGGTACAGTAGCTAAAGCATAGAGAGAATCTGCAAGCGGATACCTCAGCTAAGCCTACGTCTCCAGAACCTCAGCATCCCTGTCTGTAGTGGGATGGTAACAGAACCCCCTTGGCTGGGCTGTCTGTCTAGGGCTCAACCCTGGCCTGGGTATCCATTGCCCTTACCTGAGAAGCAGGCCTCACCTGTAGGAGCTATGTGTGGGCGGCACTGGTGGTCCAGCATCTCGACCCAGTCCAGGGACTCTGAGCCGGAGGTCCTGATCTCCAGGTCGGTTTCCATAGGCTGGGGGGTAGTGCGTCTCCCCAGGCCCTGGCTCCTCTTCTCGCCGCCAAGGGCTTCCAGAAGGTGAGGGCAGTCTCGGGACTGTGGCTCTTGTCCTGTGCCAATCAGGTTCCTGCTGGCCTCCAGGACCACGCTGGCCACCGTTCATGTGGACACGATGCCCAGAGGCACCTGCCTCAGGATGGCGGGGCCCGGGGTGCTCCCGGCAGCTATTCATGCACTCCTGCTCCGACCCAAAGTTATTGGCATTGCCGTGGCAGCCGCCATACCAAAAGCGGTTACACCGGCCCACTGACGGCACAAAGTACCAGCGGGCAGCCCAGTCTCCACACGATCCAGGAGCACTGGGCAGCAGACACCTCACTGGGTAGGCTGTGGGTTGAGGATGGTACACGTCACCCAGGTGGCCAGTGGTCACACCGCCCTCTCCCCTCAGTCTTATAGCTGTCCTGGTTCACGACGTACAGCTCCACTCCTGCCAGGACCTCTGGCCGCCCCTAGGAGCCCAGGACACACCCAGGATCTGTGCTAGCCTTGCTTCGGCTGGGTTACACCTTCACCTGTACCCAACTAGAGTCCCCAGGAAGAAACGACCTTGAGCAAGCTCTCTCACCTCCCTTCCAGCCTGGGCTTCTGGGTGCACACACAGGCCAGCTAGAGTTGGACTTCACCGTGACCTCCCCCTGAGGGACTGTGAGCATGCCCAGCAGGAGATCCGCCCTCCCTCATCCCCAGGACCACGTACCAGCACTAGCCTGCTTGCCCTCTCAGCCCTGCTGGCCAGTATGGATAGCCTGCTCCGTCTCTCCTTGTTCCAAGTGGCTGTGGCTGCCTGTCCCGATACCCACCCTTCTACCTTCTGCTGAGCCCTGGGCCTCCAAGCCTGTTATAGACTGTAGGTGTGTATTCCCATGACAGACCCTGGAAGCTCCACCCATCAATCCCCTACTCCAGCCCCCACCTTCTCTCTACAACTCAGCTTCTACTCCTGGCACACCCCATCTCAGGCGTGGGCAAGCCTCACAGCACTGCCCACCTTGCCCTTCCTGACCCCTGACATAGGATGGACTTGTTTTTATTTGTGATCTCCATTTTTTTTTTTGAGACAGAATCTTATTTATCTCAGGCTAACCTTGAACAAGGTGTGAGCCGTCCTGCCTCTACCTCTCAAGTACTGGGACTACAGACCTCCGCCACCATCTCTGGCTTATGCGGCACTGGAGATTGTACCCAGGGCTTTGTGCACGTTAGGCAAACACTCCACCAACTGGGCTGCATCCGCAGCCCTGGGAGCTCCACTTGTAACCCTCCCCAGCCAGTACAAACATCGTAGATAGAGGAACGACCCACCAAAATCCTCTGCCCTGGTTAGCTCATGCATGCTCGGGTATTGGGAAACTATGAGTCAATGAGGTCTTTGGCTGTGGGTGGGGGATGAGAACCCAGTGAGACTCCAGAGTCTACCCATCAGTAAGGATGAGAAGGGGGTACCCTCTCACCATAGTTGGGTTGACCCACACAGCCTTCCCCCAGGGGACCAGCTGCAGAAGCCACGTTGTCATAGCAACAGCCAAACTGGGAGCCACGACAATCACTGGGTTCGCCCTCATGGGCCTGGGGTTGGTGGTGGATCTCAGGGACCTGAAGAGGAAGCCAGAGGTAGGGGAAATTAGGAATAAATCTTGTTTCCAGCGGGGAGCTTGGGCTGTCCAGAGGAAGTATGGCAGGAAAAGGAAAGAGAGACAGCTGAGTCAGAGGTAGAGAGCCCCACCCAGCGGAGATTAGAGGCCACCCCTGAAGCCCCACTCTTTGATTTTTTTTTTTTTTTTTTTTTTTTTTTGGTTTTTCGAGACAGGGTTTCTCTGTGGTTTTGGAGCCTGTACTGGAACTAGCTCTTGTAGACCAGGCTGGTCTCTAACTCACAGAGATCCTCCTGCCTCTGCCTCCCAAGTGCTAGGATTAAAGGCATGCGCCACCACCGCCCGGCCCCATGCTTTGAAAGGACAACTAGGTTACCAGGTCCGTAGGGTTCTCCCTTTCCCAAGGCTGAAGCTGCAAAGATCCCAGTAGCCCTGAGCTTTGTTCCTGCCCTGAACACTTACCTTGGAAGCCACTGCCCTGGACCCTGGCCTGTTCCCGGTATTGTCACTGCCGTGAGATCTGGTGCAGCCAGCCTGCTGGGGCCCCTCAGCTGCAGACACCCCATCCGGGCAGCATCCATACCTAGAGAGTAGTACACAACCACACTCACTGCCCAGCCCAGCCCTGCTCTCCCGCGGATGCTGGGGCCTAAACTCCCAGGGCGGAAGGGACTCTGAGGCGGCTTATTTAGGAAGCTGTCTGAGAGAGCCTGTTCCTGTGCAGAGCGATACCGTTCTCCGTGCCACAAGCTCTGCTCAGTCCCGCTGCCATCCAACAGCTGCCAGGGTGCATGGTGCACCTCCTATCCCAAAACCAGAAAGCAGAATGCATCTAAGCGTGTACAAATGTCAGGTTACCAGAAGTTCCCGAAAAGATTTTTAAAAAAATTGATTTTCCATCAAATTAGAGTTTCTGAAGCAAGAGGAAGGGAGAGAAATCTCCCTTACAACCTCCTTCATCAGCAGCCATTGCTCCTGACTCTCAGAAGAGGAAGCCTAGAGCCACGAAGTCACTGGCCTCAAGTCACCCAGCAAACAGCTGGAAGTCGCCAGCCTCAAATCCCAGGCCTATAGCAGTGCAGTCCCTCAGAGAGCCTGCACTAGGGAGGTCTCGGAAGAATAGAGCAGGCATTTGGCAGGATGGGGTGACGCAGCCCCTCCCTACAGGACTGAAGGAGTGTGTTGGTAGAAGACTTGAGATATAGCCAGCTTCATACTGAGCTCCTGAGCTTGGCATGGACCCGAGAACTGGAATCACCTTCCAGGTCTGCTCCAGGCCTCAGGCTATTTCTCCACAAGCTGGCCGCATTAGAAGCCCATCAGGAGGAAGAGAACCCACACATCCATCCAAAATGGCACAGTCAGGGTACCTCAGGTATTTCAAGCTGGGCAAACCTGCCCTGAGCAGGGATGCTGGCCCTGCCCAGCGTTACCCAGTCCCCCCTGCTTCTCTCGCCTGCTGAGGAAGTATAACTGCCCCAACCCACCTGCTCTGAAGACACAAGGCCCCAGCCAGGGGACAGCCTTGCCACTGCGGCCCAAGAGATGGTGTGTGGCCATCAGGACAACATCCATGGGGGCTGTGTCTGCAGTCACGGGGACCTGAGCTTGGCCTCATGGGTGAGCGGTGTGGAGGGTGCTGCAGAGAGGGGACCCGGCCTGCAGCTGACTGGTGGGGGTCTGGGCCTTCCCGGGGATTACTCTGGGCCCTGGGTCGCTCCTGGGCAGTCCATCGCTGGTCTCTCGCATCTAATCAGAAGGGGGAAAAGACCACTGTGGGGCACCCACATTGCTCCTGCCCTCATCCCAAGTCCACCACCTTCCTAGGATCCCACTCCCTCTAGACCACTGCCAGGCCACCCGGGGGCAGGACCCAGCTTCTCACCTGAGACTGGGGACACTTGAGGGCCTAAAGGCATCCTGGGGTCTGAGGGGCGGGTCCGTGAGTCCTGTATGCTAGGGACCTCTGTAGGGGACCAAGTAATGGGTGTGAAGGGCAGGACCAGAGAAAAGCAACACCAGAGATAAAAGTCCCAACCCCTGAAAACAACACCCAGCAGAGACTTTGTAATTGTATCGGCCTGAGAAGTCACAAAAACCCCCTGCCTCAGCCTCTCAGGTGCAGGGATTCCAGGTAGGTAGCAACACGCCTGGCTCAAAGACTTCTTTCAGCTTTTCTCCGTGTCTGAATTTTTTTTATCTTATCCAGCTTTGCTGTCCTGTTAGACCGGATGACTTGGGGGCCACGGCAGGTGAGCTGGTAGGACACAGGACACTTGCCCAGCATAAGCCAGGCCCAGGGTTTGAGCCCCAGCGCCCCCCAAAAGAGAAAAAAATGGATTTTCATGATTTTTAGTAGTTGATAGTCTTTTCTAATCATAAAATGTCAGAGAAATTGGGGTTTTTATGAAGAGGAAAGCAAACTGGCAGGGTACCCCCAAAACAGCGCTTCTTGGTGGGTGGGGCTTTCCTGCTCTTCCGCAATAGGCAGTTTGCTGGAATAACTAACACCGGTGACTAAGAATGCAGGGGTGAGGGCAGAGTCCCAGCACCCACAAAACGGGATCTCTGGGAGTTCCAGAACAACAAGGCTACATAGTGAGAGTCGGCCTTAGACAGAGATGATTAAAATAATTGTGGGGAGGCTAAAAAGATCGCCGAGCAGTTAAGAGCATTAGCTGCTCTTCCAGAGGATGCGGGTTCGAGTCCCAGTACCCAAAAGGTGGCTCATAACCATATGTAACTCCAGTTCCAGGGGATCCAGTGCCTGCTGGCCTCTGTAGGTTCCCTATGTGCATGAAGTGCATGGCTGAACATGGAAGAAACATTACCATATGCATAAAATTTAAATTTAAATAGAATTTTTAAAAATTTTTAAAAGTGTTCTAAGTCTAGTGTGGTAGTGCATACCTGTACCCCAACACTTGGGAGATGGAGACAGACTGATCAGGAGTTCAAAGTCATCCTTAGCTACTCAATGAATTTGAGGCCAGCCTAGGCTGCAATACACCCTGTCTCAATAACCAATAATGATGATAACAAAACATCACTCTCCCTTTTTTCCAGTGCCCAGGGCATCATACACCACCCTTTTTAACTCATAGATTCCTGCCTTCGGCCTCCTGGGGTTCTTGAATCTCTTCTGTACTTCACACTGCCCCCCCCCCCGTGGGCCAAATTTGCCTCTCCCTACCTTCAGAGTCATGAAAAGCCCAGTGCCACCCCCGGCCCTCCTCCTCAAGGGCTCCCTTATGCTCAGACACGGTGTCCCATGACAGCCACAGACTGGACAGTCACCCTTTCTGCTCTTGTCCAGGAGAGGGGAGCCACACGTTCCCAGGGCCACACTGGAGTCACCACGCTGGCGCTCCGAGCCAAGCCTGCCACACAGCTACATTGGAGTCCTGTTGTCCCCACCTGGAGGTGCCCTTATCTCAAGAGTCCCCATGTCAGAGACAAACCTACTTTTCTCAGTAGAGGCTGCCTGCCCTCCCTCCTTCCCTCCCTCAGCCACGATCCTCCCTACTCCCTACTCCCCCCCCCAACACACACACACCAAACCCTCCCCTCTCAGTCTCCATGCCTGAGAAGCCGTCTTCCCCAGAGGAAAGGGAGTGAACGGGTGGAGGGGAGGGCATGCCTTCTCTTTTCATTCAGCCACGCAGCAATGGGGTACAGGTATGGTAATCCGTACACCAGGGCAGAGTATAGAGAAGACCCGTGGGAAGCTAAGAGCTAGCAAGTGTGAGGAGCCATATTGGACCATGCAAGACAATAAAACTAATGCAAAGGTGGCACATACAGCAACACACCGGGTAAACTGAGGCTCATGGGGTTCTGTAGATGGATTTGGCAACTGCAAAGGCAGAAGTGGCCAGAGATGTGGGAAAACAGCCAGGGAAAAGCCCCAGAGAGGAGGTGCGCACTAAACAGGCAGCCAGCGGGGAAGGGGATCTGCCTTGCCCTCACCCTGAGGAAGATGACAGGGCTGTCTGTTGCAGGGCTCCACCTCCGCAGGCTTGGACGACTGCAGGTCCCTACAGTGACCAGGCGGCCCAATGGCACAGGTGACGCGTCGCCTCCGAGTTCCCAAACCACAGCTTTTCGAGCACTGAGGGCCCAGGGTGAGAGCAGAGAGAGAGAAACCCTGAAGCCCAGGGGCACCCTTGAAGAAGTGGGGGGCCGTGCTCTGCACAGGCATCTGTGTGGAACCTTCCAGGACCCCAGGAATCAGGGCTGGACAGCAGGCATCAGGAGAGGCACACACTTACTAGACTCCACACGCCCACATGCCAGGCCTGGCCACGGAGTACAGGACAGGCCTCTTGCACACAGGGCTCGGTGGGGGGTGGCTGGTCCTTCAAGGAGCATGCTGAAGCGTGGACCAAAGACTCCTTGGCGTCCCGGCAGGTGACACTCCTCTTCCTGATGCCAGTTCCACAGGTAACGGAACACTGTAGGGACAGGCTATCAGCAGGAAGGTCCCCTGGGCAGCTGGAGCCCTACCAGCCTGGCTTAGAAGGCAGATGGCGCTCTGCTGTCTTTCTCTCACTCAAAAGCCCAGAGAGGCTGAGTCACTGCTCTGAAGTCACACAGGCTGGAAGTATTTTATTTTTATTTATGTGTATATACGTGTGTCTCCCTGTGTGTGTGCCCTTGTGTGGGGGTGCCTGTGAGACCAGAGAGGGAGTCGGATCCCCTGGAGCTGGAGTTAGAAGCAGTTGTGAAAAACCTGACACAGGGTGCTGGGATCAAAGCCAGGTCCTTCTAGAAGAGCAGAAAGTGTTCTTAACGGCTGAGCTGTCTCCACAGCCTCCATGCCCCATATTTGGGTACATGAGGCAATGCTTCCCTCGCCCCCAAACACATCCAGCTCTGTCTTCCAGTCAAGACAAACCCTTTCCCACCCAGCCCTGGGATGCTAAAGAGAGGAGAACCCTGGACCAGAGGAGAACCCTGGACCAGAGTCTCCAAGTTGCATCTCATCCCAGTTTTGGCTACATCTTCCAAGACGACCAGACCAGCAAGGTCCCTTCACCTCTGAGGACCTAAGTAAGCTTCCTCCCACACGGAAGACAAGCCTTTCAGCCCAGGCCTGCTGCTACCCAGGCCCAAGACACGGCTCCTAGTCTTCGGCAAGGCCTCACCTCTCCCCAGGGCTCCACGCTCCAGGCTGCACAGCGCTGCAGGTTACAAGCCTGTGTGGCAGAGGGCTTCCCAGGTAGACCTGCACACTGGATCTCCTCCGCAGCTTCCTGGCCTCCAGCCCCATCTGAGGAGATGCAGTAGACAGGGCGAGACTGGAATCCACCCCCACAGGAGACTGAGCAGGGTGTCCACGGTCCTACCTTCCAGCTGACAGGAAATGGAAACGGGTAAGCCTGGGGCAGGAGCACACAGCTCCCCAGCGTGAAGTGCACTGCACCCCTCCCAAAAACTCTGTGGAGAAACCACCAGCCAGGCCCTCCTAGGCATCCCCTAAAGGGTCTGTCTAACAGACAGCCTGGCTGCTGCCCCTCGGCTTTCGTATCTGTGCCCCAACTCTTCCTTTTCTCCTCCTCACTGGGTCCTGGCATCCCAGTCAGATTCCATCCCTTGCCGTCCTGTGTGGAGGCATCTCCAGAACGGCTCTGCTCCTTGTATGTGGAGAAGCCCTGCCTGGCTGGGGGTACAAGGGCCAAAGGAAAGGGAAGCCCCAAACACACCATGCAAAGCCAAGCCCACCACCGTCTCACCAGGCCAGGAGAGTGAGGGTACCAACACCAGCCCTCCAGGAACCCACTGACCCACGGATTACCTGTTCCTACACACATGCTGGGCCCCAGAATGGCGCCATGCTCCCGGCCGGTGCAGGAAAGAGATCCTTCGTGCACGAACAAAGGCGTTTGCCAAATCTACTGGCCCTTTGGCCAAATTTCTGCCTCACCCCTAGTCATCTGTGTGAGGCCCCTGTTGCCTCAGACAGGGACCCTCTGGCACTGTCCCCAGTCCTGCTGCTCCCAGCCTACGCATTCTGCTTCTGTGAGGAGACCCAGGAATGGAGAGAACGCTATTGGGCCTCAAGCTCAGGGACAGCTGTCGCCTGGTGTGAAGAGCGCGCCCGCTACCCACACTCTTCGACCCTATGCCTAAAACAGTTTAGGAGCGCTCCTCCCTCCCACCCAGGTTCTTGGGCTCCACCATAGGTGGAAGGGGCTGACAAGGCCTCACCGCTTGGTCTTTGGGCAAGGATGAGGATTACAGGAACGTCGGTGGGCTGGCCGTGGCTGGTGTTGGCACATGTGGTCCGGGTAGGCCTCGTTGTCAACGGTACAGAACACCAGGCGAGACTGGTGACCTGTCAGGGGGGCAGAGCCACACAGAGGTGCAGGTAGACCAGTACTCTCCAGAAGAACTCTCCAGTCAGGCACCCTTCGGGACTAGACCCATAGCTAGCCCTGGGTAAGTCCCACGCATCCTTCTGCGGCAGGTACCACCATCATAACCAACTTACAGAGGAGTACAGGGAGGCTCAGAGAGCCTTAGGGGCGAGTGAGAGACCTTGGTCAGGAGCTGCAGCGGGCAGTTCCCTCCTAGGAGAGTTCCCTTATCCTGGCAAAGGTTGCAGCCCTTCATGGGGACGGCTAACCTAACTGCCCCCTCCCCCAGACCCTCGTGTTTACCTCCTCCGCACTCAGCGCTGCAGTCGCTCCAGGAGCCGTGGCTCCAGCTGAAGCCTTGGCTGAGGTCACTCAACGGCAGGTAGTACTCATAGTGCACGCCTGGGTTGGGTTCCTGGCTGAGGAGCTGCAGAGAGACTTCGCTCAAGTCCCCGGGCCCGGCCCTCGGTAGCCAGAGCAGCCCCCTGGGCAGGGTCACCTCCCTCTGCGCCTCACTCACCTCGATGATCAGGGGCTCTGAGGTGGGGCCCCGTGCCCGGAGCCGCTCGGGGGCCAGGTCCCCCTCCACGCCCCTTTCGTACTCCAGGACTGTGCTGGCCACTGGCAGAGCCTGGGCTGTCTCAATGGTCCAGTGCCCGTTGAGGTAGTACTCTCCATGGACGCTCTTCACGGCTGTGGAGACCCCGCTTGTCAGGGGACGTGGGACAGCCAGTCACCTCTGAGCCCCAGCCTGCCCCGTTCCAAACCATCTCTCACCCAGGAAATTTCTGCTGGCCGCAGCTTCCTCGATGCGAATACTGGTGGCCCCAGAAGGAATGATGAAGATTTGGTTGTAGCCTGATCGGGACAAGAGTCAGGTGAGGGGTGCTGGTTTGTTCCTGGTGGGACTTCTTGGGGACAGCGCTTTTGGCAGAGGAACTAGCGTTACACGGGTCATGGTGGGGGTGGGTGAGACTCTGGACACCTGACATCTTAGGGAGAAACAGACAGCATGGGGACAAGGACAAGGTGGGGAGGGCTGAGGGTGGGCATCCAGTATCAGCAGTGTGAGATTAGACTGCACAGGTGGGCGGGAGTCCCAGCCCAGGAGAGGGACAGCCAAGGTGAGGGAGGGGCGCAGCTGCTGCCTTGCAGTCACGTGACCTGAGTCAGACCCCCCCTTCAGAGCCCCCTGTGTGATCCCACCTCTGCTGAGGTCATCGGCGTCAAAGGTTCCTGTGACCGGGTAGCAGGTGGAGCCATCACCTCCACACTGCAGACACTTGTCCTCCTGCTTGGTCGAGTCTAACTTGTGATCGCAGCCAACAACCTTCAGGGAGGGAAAGGAGAATGAGGGCAAGATGAGAGAGGAGAGCCGCTGACGGACAGCTCTCTCCTGACTCCTATCCCGACTCCTGTTAATCACTCCCAGTCTTCCTCTCAAGGCCATGTCTCTCCCGGTTTGGGTGGAACTCTGGAACTCCATAAATGTGGGCTTGGGCACGCCCAGAGGGTTGTTTCCCTCCTTCCTCAGAGAATGGTTCAGGTGAGCCCAGGCTAGCAGGTCAGGGAGCTGGGGCTCCTGGTAGCTGACAGGCTGCGATGCTAGAGGTTTGAAGCTTCCATCTTGTGGCAGGTTCATGGGAAGAGCCTGTTCGAGCCTGAAGCTGACTCACAGGAGAAAGCAAGAGATGCAGAGAGAAGTGTCTAGGCTCATTTCGTGGCCTACAGCTGTCCTTTCACTTTTGGTTGGGTTTGGTTGAGGGCAGCCTTTAGCCATCTAGAGTTTCTCTCATGAGGTTAGTGTTCTCCCGGGCAAAGTTGAGGTGGTCAGGGGACATCTGTAATGACCGCATTCCATTCTGGGAGCTCAAGAAGCCACTAAGCTTCTGACAACCACTTGGTCCTGCTGGGGCTGGAAGACACTGGGCATAACAATCCCCAGCCAGTCTGGAGGCCGGGCAGGGGCATAACTCACTCGGCAGATGCCGTCCACACAGACGTCCCGCTTGCCGGGCTTGCAGGGTGTCCCGTCCACCACGGCCTCCCTGTGCTTGTAGTAGAAGTTCTCCCCCTTGGGGATGCAGTTCAGTTCACACTTGTTTGGGGCTAGGTAGGCGAGAGGAGAAGGCTGACATCATCCTGACCCAGAAGTGTTTCCCATCGGCTCACATACTTGAACACCTGGTCCCTAGCTAGTAGCGCTGTTTAAGGGAATCTTCCAGGAAGAGCTTTGCTGGGGGTAGGCTTCAAAAGCTCAGAGCCTCGTTCACTTCCTGGCTGAGAACTTTGAGTTCTCAGCCAGATTCCCACTCCAGCCCCAGTCATTATGGACTTGCTCTCTGGGGTCATAAGCCCAAACGAACTCCTTCTGCGAGCTACCCCTCAGTCTGGAGTCATAAGCCCAAATGAACTCCTTCTGCAAGCTACTCGTCAGGGTGTTTAGCACAGCAACCACAAAGTAAGTAACACCCAAATATCTGTTGAGGGCTGGGTGGACAAGAGGGGAAGCCGAGCTCCTAGCACATGGCCTTGTAAAAATCCCCCAGGGAGGTGTGGGCAGCAGCCAAAAAAGTACACTCTTGCCAGGAGAGGGGTTTACAGCAACCCCCCAAACAGGGCAGAATCCCACCCCTCTCCCAGAGAGAAGGGATATTCTCGCAAACCTATTTGCATCTTGGAGATCAAGTCAAGCAGCAACCTCTACAAAGCTCCATTCTTTATATTATTGCTTTATTTTGTTTTGCTTTTTTCAAGAGAGTTTCTCTGTGAAACAGCCCTGGCTGTCTAAGAACTCACTCTGTAGACCAGGCTAGCCTCTAACTCAGAGATCCGCCTACCTCTGCCTCCTGAGTTCTGGGATTAAAGGCGTGCACCACCACCTGGCAATTTTGTTGCTTTGAGGTGAAGTCTCTCCGCTAGGATAGCCTTAAGGAATGGGCACAGTGGTGCACACCTTTAGTCCCAGCAAGCGATCTCTAAGTTGGAAGCCAGCTTGATTTGTATAGTGAGTTCAGGACAGACAGAACAGAACTACATAAGGAGACTTTGCTCCCCCTTCCAAAATAAATCCCAAACCAGTATGGCCTTAAACTCCCTGTATGTTTCAATGACCTCAGAGAGCCCCAAAGCGCTAACAAGGTCATCACCCTGTCTACAAGACAGCCAACCGTATAATCTTTTTTTTTTCCTTTTTCTTTTTTTTTATTGAGAATAAGAAAAAAAAAGTTTCCGCCTCCTCCCAGCCTCCCATTTCCCTCCCCCTCCCCCCAATCTTCTCCCCCTCCCCCCGTATAATCTTTTAAGATTAAAAACTAAAGATTAGGGGCTGGAGAGGTGGCTCAGAGGTTAAGAGCACTGACTACTCTTCTAGAGGTCCTGAGTTCAATTCCCAGAAACCACATTGTGGCTCACAACCATCTGTAATGAGATCTGGTGCCTTCTACTGGCATATAGGGATAGATGTAGGCAGAATACTGTATACATAAGTAAATAAATCTTTAAAAAAAATAAACTATTTGTTTACATGGTGTGCATTCATGTACATATGAATGCAAGTGCCACGGAGGCCAGAAGTGGGCATGGGATCCCTCAGGACTGGAGTTACAGGTGATTGGGAACCAAACTCGGGTCCTTGGTCGGTCAAGACCAAGTGCTCTGAACAACTGACCCATCTTTCCACCCCTCATACCATCATCATCACTGTGCACGAGTGTGAGTGTGTGTGTGTCACAGGTGGGGGCAGGAGGCTAGAAGAGTCAGAGTCCCTGGAACTGGAATTAGAGATGGTTATAAGCTGCCTGACATGGGTGATGGGAATCAAACTTGTGTTCTCTGGGAGAGTGGCTACTGCTCTTCACTGCTGAGCTATTTCTCCAGTCCCATGTGAAGGTTATTTTTAACATATCTCAGGAGTACTTCCTGCCAAAGGGTCCCCGGGGGTCACTTCTCTGACCATGGTGACACCAGGGCCACAGAGGGGACAGAGTTCAGTGCTAGACATCAGTGTGCAGAGTCTCTAGAGATCATTCGTGGGAAAAAAACAATGCCCCAGACTTTTCCTGAGGCTTGATTTTTTTTTATGTTTAGTTTATTTTATTTTTAGGCAAGGCATCACCAAGTAGACCAGGTTGGCTTCAAACTCCTGGAATTCAACACGTAGCCCAAGCTAGCCTTAAACTCCTGACACAGGTGTGTGCCACCACACTTGAAATTTGGTTGTGCTAGGCCCTTGCACACACTAGAAACCCATTCTGCCGTGGAGTGAAACCCTAGCTCCTAAGACATCTTTCGGCTATTCCAAAATGATTCAGATTCATACACAGTGGTGTTATTTTCCTGAACCCCAACCCAGCATTTCCCCAGACTATATGGGGTCTGGGTAGATGGGTGCCAAGTTCTTTCCTGACTTTGGCAGTCATGGCCCCAAGCAGCCTCCATGCGGCCCCTCACTCCACACCTCTGTGGGAACAGGGGGGAAGCTTCATAACTGAACAAAGCTAGGCCGGAGACAGACACACCAAAGCTTCAATTCTGAAAACGCATATGGAGGAGAGAAAAGGCCCGAAAGAACTCACACCATGCTCATTACTGGGTTAACACGGGTGCACTAAGGACCAGGTCATTGTCCAAGTGGCAAGGCGTCTTTGAGGGACTGCTCAGAGGCAGGGGTGGAGCCAGAAGAGCAGGGTAGCACACTTACCAGCATAGTAGGGCAGCCACCGGTAGTGCCGGCCCTCGAAGTCGGTGCCGTCGAACTCTGCACACTGCTCCGCCCGGAAGTCCCGCATGCCGTCTGGGCAGCTCTGCATGAGAACGTGGGTGTCAACGTGGGCACCAGGGAAGCTGCCATCCTGCCCTATCCACCCTCCATGTCCTGGAGCCCTGGGGTCCTGCGCCTCTATCTCATTCACCGTCCCAGGAGGAGCTACCAGCTCTCCCCCTCGGTGCCTGGCAGGTTCCCAGAACAGGTTAGGATGATGCTTGGAGGCAGGACCATGGGGAGTTGGGCGGGGCCGTGGGGAGCAGGGCCCACGCAGGCTTTACCTCGGTGTGGCAGGTACGGTGGCTGCGCGCCGGGCCCACGCAGCTGGCGCCTCCATCTCTCCTATAGGGCAAGAGCACCAGGAAGACCCCAATGTCTCCACCCGTCCCTGGCCCTCCTGGCCCTTCTGCGGGGTCCCCAGATGGGCAAGGCTGGACCAAAACCCGAGGCAAGCTGAGGAGGGGTGTACTGTTCTTAGACTGACTGTCCCTACCCTTGACCTGATTCCTGGCCACAAGGCCCTTGACCTGCACATACTACATCACTACTTGCGGGTTCAATCTGCGACTTAATAATAATATTCCAGGATATTTGGAGTTTTGGTTATTTTTATTTTCTAAGACAAAGTGCCAGGTTGACTCTGTTGCAAAGGATGACCTTGTTCATCCTGCCTCCACCTTTCTAGAGCTAAGATTACTGTTGCCCACCACACTTGACAGGTTCTCAGGAAACAGTTCACAAACCCACCAGTAGGAGGCGCCTCATTACCTTTCCTTCGAACCCGACCACCTTCCTGCAAAGCCCATCTAAATTCTCCTAGTAAATTCTAAAATCACTTGCCCGGGGAGGGTCCTCTGCACTTGACAAAGCAGCCAAGGGCAAAGAAATCACAGCAACTAGGAACTGGTGGGGACGTGGACAGCCAGCCCTGAGTTTTTGCCTGCCTAGAACGGAGCAGCTCTAACCCAGTCAGAGTGCGCAGACCCGACTAATCATTTACGCAGGTCCCGTAAAGGCTAAAGAGACTTAATATGGAGCCAGGCATCCGTGGCCTGCAGGTGAGCTAAGAATAGGATAATGGGCTGTGAGGTATTGCCAGCTGCCTTTGCTTCTGTAAAACCTGCTTGCAGCTATGAAAGGGGGATGAAATGGGCTTTTTGTTACTCTATAGCAGGGAACAGCTGAGGGGAGTAAAACGCTGTTCCTGCCCAGCTGTGGGTTCCATGGACAGCTGGAACGCGCGCCTTTCTGATGTCCGCCTTACAACCTCTCACGGTAACCCCCTCCCCCACATGGCAAGCTGTATCAGCGAAGGATGTTGACCTTCTGCCATCGGTAAGAATAAATTAATTCACCTAATCTAAATTCTAGTTGAGTCTAAGTCTCTGGTTACTCCCAGTGGATTCGAAAGCCACAACACGTCAACTCTACAAATGAAGCCCCACCCAACCCCACCCCCGTGCGCCAGGCGCCACGGGGGAGGAAGGAGACGCGGCCCAGCTCCTCTCAGTCTAGGCTGAGTGTTGGAATCCGAGGTGACTACACAGGAAATATCGGTTTTCCTATACACATCATCACTCTTCCACAATGAATCTGTCACACAACGGCCCTGACGTCAGGCTCCCCACCCAGCAGCCTGCCATTCCTCACTTGCCCTCCTTTAAGGGGCAGACAGGTTGTACACATCCCCTCCCTACCTCTGGGAGTAACAGGGGCGCTCCCGGAAGCTGATGCCTCCTCCACAGGTCCGGCTGCAGGGGCTCCACTCGCCCCAGACGCCCCAGGTGTCACTCTGCTGTCTCACATTCCGAGCCTGTGAAAGACATGGAGTGTGCCTCACCATCACCCCTGCAAGCACACACACTTGGGACCCAGAGTCCTGCAGAGATAGATGCTCCCCAACCGGTTCAAAGCACCTGGGGCCTCCAGTAGTGCTTGTTCAGGACACAGAAGCGCCACCGGGTACTCCAAAATGTTCATTGCAAACTTGAGATGCTGTCTGAAGGAGTGGAAGAGCCAGCCTTGGTGTGACTGGGCTCAGTCAGCTGGGAAGAGCCTGTAGTTCCGGGGGCCCTGGGGGAGGGGCCCTGCATCCAGTGCAGATGTTTGTGGGTCATTTTTTTAATATTTATTTATTTTATTTATTATGTATACAATATTCTGTCTGTATGTCTGCAGGCCAGAAGTGGGCACCAGATCTCATTACAGATGGTTGTGAGCCACCATGTGGTTGCTGGGAATTGAACTCAGGACCTTTGGAAGAGCAGGCAATGCTCTTAACCACTGAGCCATCTCTCCAGCCCCTTGTGGGTCATTTCTAATGTGGAAGAAAGGATCCTGAAGAAAAGGGGGAAGGAACCTAGGACGAGGGTACCTCGATGTCTTGTTTTGGGCGCTCGCTACTCAGCTGTGGTCTACTCATCTAGCAAGACAACCACCCATTCTAGGTGTCTACAAGGCACGGCGGAGGGCGTGGCCAGGGGGCGTGGTCTGGAAGAGGCTGTCTCCCCTGACAATGCTATGCTTGGCAAGGGCAGAACTTGGATTGGTGTCCCTTAAAGGGAGCCTGTGGATCAGCAAACCCATCCTTTTCAAGAGAGACCCATATTGGATGGGAAAGATCATGGCAGGTCCTCAGGCAGGTAGGCCTCTCTTTCTGTTCAGAGAGTGTAACCAAGACAGGACAGAATGTCAGTCCACTCCCCTGGAGAAGAGCCACCCCAAGACTGTTGTACCACTTCTGCTCCGAATGTGAGCTCACTTCCAGAAACTTCTATAGTTCTGGCCCATTAAACTAGAACCTAGTGTGGGCTGGGTAGGGGGGGAATTACAGTATTTGGGGTAATCTGTGGCAGAGACTCCCAAGAGTACCCCATTATTGTTTCCCCGGCCCTTATAAGAGAACCTGAAAACTTGCCTTCTTGCACAATGCTCAATACTCTTAGTTTCCTGTAGCTTACCAACCCCAGCCCTAAGATCCTAAGGTCTCATCGACGGCCCACAAACAAGTGCTGGGCAGCAGTCTCTCGTACTCCCGAGAAGAGACAGGGCAAATGGGCGTGTTTTCCTGGTCCTCCAGCAAGCCTTTCTGCTGGAAAACCTGTTGTAATGGCTAGGGTAGGAACAGCCCTTTAGACTGGCCAATTTCTTCGGAACGAAGGTTTCAAACAAAGTGAGGATTTCGTGAAATGAAACAGCCCTGAACTTCTGACCCCTGAGTGTTTATGTGAGAGTTAGACCTAATCTGCCTTGATGAGATTACACAGTGGAAATTCATTATGGATGTGACACCCGCAGCCAGCATGCTGTGGACAGGTGGTACACACATTCTCTCATCCAATCCTTACAGCCTACTGGCTCCCAAGGAAAGCCACGCCGACGACCAAGCCGAAACACTCCGTGCTTCATCCTAGGACTGTGTCCCCACCTGAGACACTGGGTCCTAAGGAGCTAGACAAGGGTGCAGCGAGGCGCCGTAAGCATGTCCCGTGTGCTGAAACGGGGGTTTATTTTGAGGTGTCACCATAAGTCGTCTTAGAAAATAGAACTCCCATTGTTCAGAAAGAGGCCAAGTGTGAACATAGAAAAACAAGCCCTTTCCCAACGTGGGGCCTTCTGGTTAGCCAGTCTGAGGTGAGCAGGGATGTTTGCTCAAGCCTAACATCAAATATCTCATTACTCTTATTTTTATAGCCCACAATTCAAAAGCAGAGCAAACCGCACTGAACTCGCTAACCACACACAGAGCAGGCCAGCCAGACCAAAGGTCTTGCTTCTCATTGTAAGTCATCCACTCCTCCAGTTTCAGCCAGAACAGAACCTCCAGGCTTTCCAAACCAGTGAACCAAAATGCTCAGGTATTCTGGCAACAACATGTAAACTGGTTTTATTCGGCTTGAGTTTGTTTTGAAGGGGAGAGCTCCTTATTGTGTGGCCGGTGTTGGGGTAACATTCCATGCTGTGGCCCCTGTGAGCCTCAAAGCTGTGCTGCCATGTGCTTGTTTGTTTTGTTTGTTTTTTTGTTTTCAAGACAGGGTTTCTCTGTAGCTTTGGTTCCTGTCCTGGAACTAGCTCTTGTAGACCAGGCTGGCCTCAAATTCATAGAGATCACCTGCCTCTGCCTCCCGAGGGCTGAGATTAAAGGTGTGCACCACCACTGCCCAGCTCTACCGTGCTAAGTACCAGGATGTGGCCCTTGTAGACCGGCTGCCCTCATTTGCCTGGCTAGTGTTGACCTTGCTCAGTTGTCTGGATGCTTGTCTAGGTCCCTTGGAGCAGCAGCCCCCAGAAATCTGGCTGTTCTGAAGGCAAGGTAGGGACAACTCATGTGTCCACAGCAATAGGGGATGCTCTGGCCACAAAGTCATCCTAGAATGTCTGACAGATAGGGGAATGGTCTGAATTTGGGGCCCTAGAGATGCCACACTCCTGCCAGATGCCTTTTACAGACATTCCTTGCTTCCTGTGACCAGCACCTGCAGGTAGAGGCCTCCCGCCGGTGCGTGGGTGAAGCCTAGTCTGTGCAATACTGAACCGTGTTCCCTGCACAATTTCCACACCCATCAGGCCTTGAGCCTCGAGCACGTTTTGTTCTCCATAATTATCTAAACCCCCAGCTGTGCGGAGGTATGAAGCCAGGAGCCGGTGTGGCCCAACCCTGCTCTGGGCCTGTTCCCACCTGTCTCAAGCGGCTGCTCTCAGCACCCCACCCTTCGTCCTCCAGCTCCCGGCTCAGGAGCTCCCTTTCCTACCTGTCCCAGAAGACTCTGGGGCGTCCGCGCAGGAAGGGACAGAGACAATAGGCCAGGGGTGAGGGGACTCCCAGCCATACCTTTAAACTATCCATCTGATCGGTGGGTAAGCAGACTGACTAGGCAGGCCTGACAGGAACCCCGGGGTGATCAGGACTTCATGGTGGATCCTACCACCATACAGGGAGCTGAGCCTTACATACCTCTCTACCACACAGAGGACAGGGAAAGACCCCAGCTTCTTCTGGGCCTTTCTTGCTGGAGGAGGAAGAGGCAGAGGCCACTCAGGGCTCCTCCATGGAAGAAGGGACCTTATAGGATCCAGGGTGCTTTGTAACCATGGGCTCATCTGTGTGACAGCCCTTGTGTGGTGTGGACATGGGATTTGGGTGGTCTGTCTGTGGCTTGGAGGACGAGCTGGAGTCAAGCAGCTATTAGGAAGTGGTTCTGGGGCTCTGGGATTTCACCCTGGGGTCACGGAGACCCCTCCCTCTGGGCCTACACCTGCATGCAGCTAAGTCACCAGCACGCGCTGAGGAACCTCAGAGAGCAGACTCTAGGGAGCTAGGGCTGTAGGCACAGGTGGCACGTGAAAACGGAAATAAGGAAGGGGGCTTCAGTCCGCCAACTGCCTGGCATACCTGTGTGTCGGAGTATGAGCTTTGGGGTGGGGGCTGCCCAGTGCCTACCACTGACACCAACTCCTGCCTGCCTTCCTTACTTTCGACTCATTAACACGGGACGGGGCGGGGGGGGGGGGCGCACGACCCCCTTCCTTCCCAGATAGTCAGCCGATCCTTTGAGTCTTTCCTCTCTCATCTGGGCCTTCTTAGGGATGAGCAGGGCTATGGTCTCCCTTATGCAGGGCTTTTCAGAGGAGAATGGGACCTGGCTGCCTCTGTCCTCTCTGTTCTGCTCAGCACCCAGCTCTGCAAGCCCTCTGACCTCCTCCCTGCCTCACCTTAGGACTCCAGGGGGTCCAGAATCCACCCTCCAGGTTTGCACTAACCTGACAGCCACATTTACCTGCAGTTTAAAATTACGCTCAGGTCAACATCAGAAGCTCCTGAGTTATGCTAGCCACATTTCAAGTGTGCAATAGACACATGAACCTAGTAGCTGCAGACCGAACCCCAGAGAGAGACAGACGGAACTTCCCAGCCGCCTCCTTCAGGCGGACTGCCCCGTTAGAAAGCTAACCGTCCCAGGCAGACCTCCGAGGTGCCCTGGTTTGCGAAGGCTCTGGGAGTGCTGCAGGCTCAGCTCCTCCAGGGCTTCCGGCACTGCCCATCGCCTGCCCCTCCCCCACCGCTCCCAAAGCAGCCTCCCAGAGCCCTACGGGGTTGCACTCACCCAAGACCCTGGAGTGGAGGCCAGCAGCAGGAATGTGGAAATCAACAGCAACATCTCCGCCTGCAGGAGAAGCCACGGGTTAGAGCCGGAGGGGCCGCAACAGCTGCTGAAAGTAGTGGCTTCTGCTATGTGGGTGGGATGTTCCCTCTCACGGAGACCCGGTCTGCCGGGACCATGGAGCTCACTAGACAACACGTCACGCAACTCACGCACGAGGGAGAGACGGCTTGGTCGGCAGCAGGCAGAAGCACAGGAGCAACTTGTTTGGGGATTTCAGAGGGGAAAGAATGGTTAAAAATACGGCTGTGTTGTTGAAGAACTGAGCGAGTTGGGAATCAAAGTAATCAGGCTGCTAAACTCAGTAAGAAATTAAAGAGGCCATTTCATCCCACTTAAAGACAGCTAACAATAATCGATTTGCTGTCAATTTTCATCACCCAAAATAAGGGTGTGAATGTGTATGTGTGAGCGTGTGCAGGCATGGGACCGGGGAGGTTGGAGGTTGATCGTGGGTATCTTCCTCAGCTGCTCGCCCCGGTATTTTTTTGAGACAGTGTCTCTCTTTGAACTTGCTGCTCAGCTTTTTCAGCTAGGCCGACTGGCCAATGAGGTGGAGGGATCCGCCTCCCCAACCCTCCCCACGGGGCTGGGGTTCCAGAGCATGCTGCAACAGCAACTTTACCTGAGTTGTAGCGATCTGGATTCGGGGCCACATGCTTGCACAGCAAGCTTTTCACTGACAGGGTCATCTTCCCAGCCTCGCCAGAAGATATATAGAAATATATAGGAAAATCCTCCGTGTGAGGATATTTTAAAAATTCAACTGCAGCGCTGGATACTCTGCAGAACCTAGTTCCAGGATAGCAAGGGCTACACAGAGAAATCTTATCTCCAAAACAACCAACCAACCAAAAAAAATTCAATTGCTTATCCAGATGTGGTATAGGGTGGGTGCCGTGTAGGGTGGATACCTTGTAGCCACAGCTACTGGGAGGCTGAGGCCAGAATACCACTAGAGTCCAGGAGTTCAAGGTCAGTCTAGGCAAAAAGGCCTGCTCCAAATTCAACTGCTTTTAAAATTTAAGTATAGGTCTTGGGGTACAGTTCATGCTTAGCTACACTGAGACCCTAATTTGGATGTCCAAGCACCAATGTTCTTTGTTGCTCTCCCTCCCTCCCTTTCTCTCTCTCTCTCTCTCTCTCTCTCTCTCTCTCTCCACACACACACACACACACACACACACACACACACACAGTTTCACAGAGTTTCCTGGTTTAAATCTGAGCCAATTCTTGTCTTCACAGGAAATCTTCCTTCGCAGTCTGCATAACAACCGTGTGCACCCGCAAACCCAGAGTTGTGTGCAGGGTGTGCACTGTGCATTCGCTGTAGTGGTATGAGCGTGTGTGCACTAGGTGTGTGTGCAGTGCGGGGTGTGCTTACGTGTGCACACATGTCTCATCAGAGACATGTAAGCAGCATGCAGTTCAGTACAGAACATTTTAAACAAGTGCTGACAGGTATATTTAATATTAAAATCTGTAGTTCTACTGATGTTCTGAATTCTTTTAGAATAAAACGACTTGCGGTCACTTTATAGGGATGAAGTAGAGCATACAAAAGCCACATTCAGGAAAGCTTACCCTAGTGCATGGATGGAAGAAAACCCCGTTTAATTTGGCACAGACAGCAAGTCACTCGGTCATTCTTATCAGCAGAGATTCCTGGGTTTGGCTACACCTTCTGGGGGATCAAGAGCACCCAGGAGGGCATGTGGGCGCAGACATAATCAAGGGCTAGTGGGCCAGGAGGCGGGTGAGCTTGAACAGAGACTGAAGAAAGGATTAAGGGGTTCCACTCACTACAGGCCCTGCACAGGCCTGTGACCCTGACCCTGATTCCAAAGTCCAGAAGCTTAACCATTTTCCTTCTCTCAAACCAAAGCCATCCCTGAGTCTGGCAGTTCGACTCTCCAAACCTCTCCGCCCCGGGGTGTGCCCCAGAGGAGCTGAGGGGGCGGTTCCCTTGGGGACCCTGGGTGCCTGGCAGGTGCTGGCTGTGGCCGGGCTCTCCACCGCATGTCCCCAGGGGGTGCTCTGGTCTGTAGGCTGCACCTGGACTGTGCCCTGGCGGGGGAGTATGGTGGCAGGGAAGGTTAATGTTGTCCCTGGAGATGAGCAGGAGGCGGGCGGGGAGGACCTGACCACCCAGCCCGATGCGGAGCTGAGACCCTACCCCGTGGTCACCTCGGCCACCGCACGGCTAGAGACGGGGTCTCCCTTGGGCCTCTCACTTCCACGTCACCAGCAACCTACCCAAGCCAGGAGGGGCAGAAGCCTACAGATGCCCCGGGCGTGCCCTGCCCAAAAAGCCCGCTTGCGTTCCTACCTGACTTGCAAAGCCCGGGAGCCGCCCCGTCAGCGCCCAGACTAGGTCAATCTCTCCACAACCAACGAAAGCCAGGGGAGGTTGGACTTTCTCTCCCTTCTGCTGGCTGGTTTCCTCCCCGCCCCATCTTCCCCCACCCAGTCTGCTGACACCCACCTCCAATCCCTGAAGGAGCACAGTGCCCCCATGGAGAGGCCCCGGATGCCCAGGATTGCCCCGCGTTTCCTCTTCTTGGGCTCCTGCCAAGGCTGTACTTATTCTCAACTCTGTGGGCTACGGTCTTGGGTCTGTGCCAGCCACCTTTTCAGTCCCACTTCTCCATGCCCAAGCCCTCCGGATCTTTGCCAAAACACCTCCTCGCTACTACTACCCTACGCTGACAGACCTCGGTGTCCAGCCACCTTCTGAATTCTATACTTTGGCTATGACCAGTTTACACACACACACACACACACACACACTCCTCCTCACTATGCTACCCTATACTGACAGACTTCCATCCAGCCACCTTCTGAATTCTATAGTTTGGCTGCAATCAATTTATACAGAGAGAGAGAGAGAGAGAGAGAGAGAGAGAGAGAGAGAGAGAGAGAGAGCGCGCGCTCGAGCGCACTTTCCCCATCACTTTGAATTTATACCCATCCCCCACACCCCAAGCTTCTCCAGCTTCTACTCCTCTCTTAAATCTCTCTCTATGCCATGTATGGTGACCTTTAATCTCAGCACTCGGGAGGCAGAGGTAGGTGGATCTCTGTGAGTTCGAGGCCAGCCTGGTCTACAAAGTGAGTTCCGTGTCATGAAAAATAAAAATGAAACAAAACACCTCTACCTGTCATCTTTTGAGGCTTCCCTGCCCGCTCCATCGTTGATCCCAGCTGCTACAATTTATCTATCTATCTATCTATCTATCTATCATTTATTTGGTTTGGTTTTTTTGAGACAGGGTTTCTCTGTGTAGCCCTGGCTGTCCTGGAACTCACTTTGTAGACTAGGCTGGCCTTCAACTCAGAGATTCACCTGCCTCTGCCTCCTGAGTGCTGGGATCAAAGGCGTGCGCCACTGCCTGGCTGCTGCTGCAGTTGTAATGAAGACTCAGAGTAAAATTCTGTCACTGGGAATTAGCTGCGAGTTGAGGCTGGGGAAGACCTGCATGTCCACGGTGGCCACTACCCTGGATACTAGGGCATCTACATAGAGGCTCTTACCACATCTGCCTGTGATGAACTTAATTTCCTTCCTGCGTTTCCTACTCCCCCCCCCCCCCACCCCCAATCAAGATGTACCTTTCCCATTCTTAAAGTTGAAAAGAGTTTACACATTCCTAGAAAAATGCCCTGGCCCTGGACCTCCCCTTGCTGACCCTGACATGGCCAGTTCTCCACTGGGCTCAGACAGAACAGTTTGCAACAGGGACCTCCATCTTCTTCAGGGATGGGCCTGTGTCAGACTAGACTGAGTAAAGCCTGAAGCTCTTCCCGTCCCCACCCCCAGGGCAGCCTGAGGGCAGCAGGAGGGCAGGGGCCTGATTCCAGGGTCCCAGGAGCTACCCAGATTCTTAGGCAAAGACAAAGCCTGGCATCCAAGGCAGTGACCTCAGATCCTCCCGAGGAAAGAGACCTGTTTCTTCTTTCCAGCTACCCCGCCCTGCCAGGGACCTTTCTGAACTTGGTCAAAAGTCCTTGTGGACATGGGAGGGAAACGCTCCCCTGCTACTGAGAACTGGGCAGCCGAGGAGCAACCTGCCTGCGGTTTTTCTAGCCACTTTCAGATGACTGAACTTTATGATTCTTTGCTTTTGTTTTAAGGCAGGATCTCATTGGGGTCCAGGCTGGCCCCAACATGCAGCTGACGGTGATGCCGAGTGCCGGGGTTACAGACCCCGTAGGTTGGACCAGCCAGCATTCTACCAACTGACTACACTCCAGGTGACAGCTGGACTTATTTTTAGGGTTTATTTGACTTATGATTCCATATCACTCTTCAAACAAGGAAGTTAGGACAGGAACTCAAAAAGGGCAGGAGCCTAGAGGCAGGAACTGGTGCAGAGGCCATGGAGGGGTGCTGCTTACTGGCTTGCACAGCCTGCTTGCTTGCTTGCTTGCTTGCTTTCTTTCTTTCTCTCTCTTTCTTTCTTTCTTTCTTTCTCCAGTTGCAAGAATTGTTTTATTGAGCAACATTTTTAAATACACAGAACTATCAGCCTTCTTTCTATAGAACCCGAGACCACCACCAGTCCAAGAATGGCACTACACAGAATGATCTGCCTCCCCCATCAATCATAGTGGCACACATGCCTTTAATCCCAACACTCAGGAGGCAGAGGCAGGCGGATCTCAGAGTTCTAGGCCAGCCTGGTCTACAGAGAGAGTTCCAGAACAGTCAGAGCTACATGGAGTAACACAGTCTCAGAAAACAAAAGAAATAAAAAGAAAATGGCTGGGCAGTGATGGTGCATGCATTTAATCCCAGCACTTGGGAGGCAGAGGCAGGCAGATCTCTGCGAGTTCGAGGCCAGTCTGGTCTACACAGGGAATTCCAGGACAACTAGGGCTACACAGAGAAACCCTGTCTCAAAAATACAGAAGAGGAGGAGGAGGAGGAGGAGGAGGAGGAGGAGGAGGAGGAGGAGGAGGAGGCGGAGGAGGCGGAGGAGGCGGAGG